ATGAAGACAACAAGTCCGACACAAAGCTCTTGCAACACTGAAACGTGCAGATCGTAACGTGTTGGAGGTCGTGATGGTCGTTGTTGTCTGGCCGTTCTGGCTTCGTGGTTGGCACAGTTTGAAAGTATGTCTGCAACAATCAATTGCTATGGCACATTTTCCACATTGCCTCAGAGTGCCCCGACCTGACTAGTTTGTTGTCGAGGAAAATGGGGAAAAATCGAATGTTCCAACGATTCGAGCTCGTTTCCGATGTGTTTCACGATGCCCGACTCATACAACTGCATGTTTTGGAGCAACGTCGTTCAAGTTTTCATGATTTTCTTGATTGCAAGTAGCTTGAAGTTGAAGGTTGTGCCCGCGCCGCGCATCAGCTGCTTTGCCCACCTTTTCGATGACGTGTGTGACATCAAAAATGGGCAATGAACATGTTGAGGCCCCGTTAACATCGACGTGCAACAACTGAACGGGTGATACATCATGAAGCCAAGCACTGACTCGCAGTGGCAACTTGTTTTGTTTTACGCATTGAATTTGACTCTTCGGCCCTTAACCCCTCAGACACATTCGACATGTTTGCGATATGCCTGGGTTCATGTATGTCTTGCCGCTGCGGGATTGCTTAACCCCCCACCCAAACAGAAGCTTGACCCCCCACCCAAACAGAAGCTTTAGACCATATAGCCAGCACGAAACCGCCATGGTCGCAGCATCCGTTCTGGTTGTTTGGATTGGTTGTCATGGTCGTTAAGGCACGGCAGGAGATAAGCCACCTGCGGCTAATTGGACGTTTGCATCCGTGTTTTTTGCCCAGGCCAATGACACTCGTGTTGCAGACGGTCGAATCACGCAGGCGGGGTCGCAGTTTTGTCATCATTTCTTGACATGGACAGTTCTCCGGTTGCAGGATGCTCCTGAAGGACATCCTGTTTGGCGAGGCGCTGGGCCAAGATTTTTGTTTGAATCTCTCCCGAGGTCCGCCTTGGTTCTTGCAAATCGTTTAATTTACGTCCGTCGGCGTTTCCATTCCGGCCCCACGTGCAAGTACAAGTTCCGGGTCAAAGCAGCTGCGAGCCATGATGATACAAAAACAGCGTCAACGGTTGCGCCGAAACAGTATTCACAAGGTGTTCAAAGCTACAGCACTTGTTGCGGCGATGCTTTTAAATTTCCGCGTTTTTCGCACATCGGGGGCAAACTTCCGGACATTTTGCTGCAACTCGTCGGTAGATGCTTCAACAGATCGGACTTTCAGCCAGCTGCTGTCGCCGCGCTTGAATGGGCCCACGACGTATGTAAATGTGTGCCCTTGAGGTCCTGCGAGCATTTGGGCCTCCGAGCCTTCTGGCCCTAGTTCCTGCATGTATGCGCTGTGACTGTGATCTCTGTCTTGGCCGAGCTGTCCGACAAACCAGTTTGCGTTTTCAGACGCCTTGGCCGCACTGCAGTACTGCTTCTGCTGCGTACTTGCTTCCCAGCCCCTGTTTTCACTGAGCCATCAACGTGCGCGAAAACAGTTTTGCAACGACCTGTTGTTGCGACACTTCGCAGGCCCACAACCAACTGCCCTTTGGCTGCACTTGCACTCCGAACAGTGTTTCTCCTAAACATACGCGTGTGCGTGCGCACCAACACCGGAGCTGCTGTAGCCGCAGTGTTTGTTTGATTACATATTCAACGGCACGACGACCACGCTTTCAGGGCACAGCGGAATTTCTGCACGGGTGTCATCAGCGCATCAGCAGGTGACGTATCATCAGAACTAGGAATACGATTGCGAATTTGCGATGCCAACATGCTTGGGCGACACTTGAAGCCCGTCGCTATATGTTACTGAAAGTGTATATCAACCTTGCGATACGAAACAAAGTGTGCATCCCGTGGAACAGACACTTATGAATTACGTCCACTTGACGGAAACTGCCGTGTTACGGCTCACGGAACCAACTACATGGCTGCCACGGCAATAGCTCGCCCGCACGACAGCCGCAGACGAACCTCGTCGGTGCCAGAACCTTGTGGTGCCGCAATTACTCTGAAATCCACGTCCCCGTTTGGCTCCGAGCTCCCCGTGTGCTCGCGGCAGTGCATCGATGGACGCGTACGTTGGCAGTGGCGCGTCGACGCGCGCTCGCGTACTCAGGCTGACTCGCTGCTTGAGTTGCCGTAAGGGGGGCGGACCAGTGCGACGGCACGGAGGATTCGGAGACGCCTTTAGGTGACCTGTTGGCGGATGCTTGTTACCGGCTCCTTGCAAGCCCCGAGTTCAGGCGGCGGCAGTGAGCACCCGGTGAGTCCGGCTGAAAGGCGCCGAGTGCAGCAGGCACGTCGTGCAGGGGCACGTCGTGCAGAGGCACCGCCTCGGACAGGCAGCAGAGGTTTTGCCCGTCCCGGGAGCGATCGTTGCAGAGGTCGGGGCACCACGAGCACGAGAGAGAGAGAGAGAGAGATACATATATATATATATATATATATATATGTATCTCCGCCGCATGTTTGCGCATGCCGCTCGCGAAATGAGAACTAGGATGGTGGGTTTAACCCACAACAAAGCTAGGGGCCGATCGCCGTAGCAGTCCAAGGCTACACGCTCGGAGTTTCCGGGCGGTAGGAGCCTTGATTTTAAATTTTAAAATCAGGGGCGCTTGTTTTTCACAGGGAGGATAAGGGGCCCCCGTGAAGGGGACCCCTG